GGGCGCAACAGTAAGAACAATTTCCAAGGATACTGGCGGTGAGCAACACTGAGCCCATGATTCTCACAACCCAACGTGCAACCCCAGGAACGCCGAAAAGCTTTCTCTGCTCCTCGACCTTGTCCTGAAGTTCCGAACCAGCACGCAAGTAGTTATCCATGATATTCGTCAGAGGCGCAATCACCTTCGATATCATGATGAAAGTACCGAGGGCGTAGCCACCATTATCCCGCAACCACTTGCCGCCGAGATAGCGGTGCTTCGACTGATCCTTCCTCTTGGCATCACTCGGGTCGGCGCCTGCAGCTGCGCCAAGGTCGGGCTGGCCATCGCGCCCGTCACCGCCGCCGCCACAGGCGGCAGGAACGGCATCGTCGTCCGACTCGTCGCCACGAAACTTGGGATGACCAGCCGACGAAGGAGATGGAGCAGTACCAGACCACTGAAGAAACGCAGTGGTGAGCAAGCCGTGAACACTCTCCATGAGCCCCAGCCACGACACCGACTCGTCTGCGCCAACCCACCGCTTCAACGGCCAAGGCTTAGGAGCGCAAGAAGCCAAAGCACTAGCAAACATACCTGATATTGTTCTCCTGCAGTCAGCCTCACTCTTGCAGCAACCGTTGCAATAATGTGTGATGCGGCTCCTGTCGCTCCAATCGCCGTTGGCAAACGTCAACAGCAAGACTCGCCTTAGCAGGTGGGTTGGAGGCTTCCGTGCCAAAACAACGTCGAGGAGGCTGATGTTGCGACGCACTTGTGCGGGTTGAGGGCGAACGTTGGGCACGTAGTGCAGCATGCCGCCGATGGTGCGTCGCAGAACCTTGCGGAACGACCTCATGGCATCACCACCGTTCAAAGCATTTGCGATGTGTCGCATGCGATTCACCACGTGGCCTATCTGGTCAAACACATCCTCATGCCAGTGGTACACGCGATGGACTTCGCACTTGGTCTTGAGAACCACCCATCTTCTGTCATTGGCCGCCACTGCGCGCTCTGCCCTGTCGACGGCAGCGTCGGCGTCTGTGCAGACGCACCGTTGCCGACGCCGAAATGCCGGCAGAACGTCCTCTGGGAGTTCAGCAGCAACGTCACTTGCAGCCAATGCTTGAAAGTAGTGCTCGCCCTTGCCTTCGGATGTACACTGGAGCCAACATGGAATCTGACATCGGACGAGCAAGAACTGCCCATTGGCAAGTTGGAGCAACACATTCTCTGACCTGAGTGTCTGAACGATCTTGGCCACGTGGGAAGAGACACACGATGTGATTATTGAGCTGACAGGATCATGGTCTGCGACCTCCAGCTGAAGATCTCCAGCGGCGGGTCCTGGCTTCTCTGGGTCGACACATCTGGTCCTCATTGGAGTTTCGTCGTACCTGAGCTCACTATAATAGCAGATCGCCGCGCCTCCAGATGCAACGACGCCCCGGACCAATCCAGTCACCATCCGAACAAAACCCCGCCGATGCATCAATACACTCGAGGACGCCGTGCAGTGGAGGAGCGCCTGGGCAGCTCGGAGGTCGAGGCCGAGCGATTCAGCCTCGGCACAAAAGCCAGCCTGGCGATGTGAACTGGTCTGGGCGTAGTGCTGCAGTGCCAGGGCGCGCTTCGGGTCGGGATGCAGCTGGCCCGCATGGGCCTCGGATAAGGCAACGTCAAACAATGCGTTTGTTGAAGGGGAGGTTCCAGGCCCTGAAACCTTCCTATCAACAAACCCCCACGGATATTGCCCAGGCAATGGTTTCGAGAGCTCACGTAGGCCCAACAGGGCCGCGAAGCTAGACCCACATGATGTCCAAGGAATTTCGGGGAGGAATGGGCACGACAAGCAACATTTAGAGACGCAGCCTGAACGATGGCAGCCATCATCTCGAGGGACCCCGCCAAGGCGTGGCGCTCGGGCTCTGGCGGTGGCACACCAGGCTCGACAGCGACGACCGCCTCAGCGAGGTCGTCCTCGCCCTCGGCGCCCTCGTCGCGGACGCCCAGGTCCTCCAGAGCTACAAGCTCTGGCGCGGCAGGGCGGTGATCGAGGCACGTCGCGAGCCGCTTGCGCACGCGGTGCCGCAAGGCACTGAATCTAAGGCTCATGTCCAATCCGTGGCCGCGAATGTCAGGCGATGCACGTGCGAGGGCAAGCTGCTGCGACTTCGTGATGCGAGTCCCCGTCGCGCAGTGGCCCCCCGTCGTTGCTGGGCCCATCAGAGGCCCAGCCCGACAATTCGGCGACCTCGGGCTCACCAAAAGACGCGAGCCCCCTCTCACCAGCGTCACTGCCGCTGGCCACCTCGTCACCCCAGGACGCGAGACACTCGCCTCCAGAAGCGCCGCCAGAAACATCCATGCAACGCTTCGCTGCATAAAGGAAAAGAACACACAACACTGAACTCGTCATCTGCAGCAGAGCCTAAACAGCGACGGAAAATGCGTTTAACCATTCGAAACGATGGCCCCAAGCTGGCTTACAAGGCTCAAACCCAGAACGTGTCCAGCCTCGCACGGAAAGTATATGGACAGGCTTTGCACGCCCCCCTCCCTGCCCTCCTCGCCTTCTCCCCTCATCCTCCTACCCTCTCCCGCGTATATTGCGCCACGTTGCCTGCACCGTCCACGCGAACTGCTCCGCGTAGCCAGCGGACGTGGTTCGCTGCGCGCAGATTACACCACATAGCAAACCCCCTCGGGCTACATTGCGGCTATGTCTTCCTGAGGTGCTGCGCATGGCCTACGAAACGGTTTGTAGTTGGGGGATATGTATGCGGGTATCTTACATGGGCTCCGCAAGCGCACCGATACCTTGTGCAGGTATCATACTCGAAAATGTTGTGTTGCATGTATTTGGGCTTGTATCACGGATCGTATCTAACACCTGTTCCGGGACTACTTTTAAGAAATCCAACATGGGGGCCTCCTAGAGGGGCATGCATCTCATAAGTGCGGCGGTGGTACGGACCTCGCGCTGAGTGGTTCAGCCTTCAGCGTGTCGCTTCGGTTCTACCTGTCCTCTTCGGCTAGGTTGGCTGAGCGGGCTGGCGCCGACAGGGCGACTCCCCGTTGCATGCCGCTGCGGTCTGCGTCGCCTCGGCGTGGCTGGCGCCAAGGTGCGTTCGCCTTAATGCGGAGCACTCTGCTCAGTGCATGTGCACGCCTCGCATTCTTGCAGGTGCGTTGCCTGTTGTAGCTAATTCGCCTCGCCTGCTGGCCCAGGCGACGCCTGCCGCCCCCTGTCCGCTGCCTCGGAGCCGCCGAACAAAAAGTATCCCCACCAGACACGCGGAGTACACGCTCATCGGCGTCGACGGTGATCAACGGGCCTCTTCATAAGCTGTGTGGAGGAGACAGCGGCTCTAGCAACTCACGCTCTTTCGCCATCCCTTTGGGAATGAAGAAGGGATCGATCCCGCCGAGGATGCGGACGACGAGGGCCAGCTCTGCCGGAGCACCGCTGGCTACCCTAGGCAAGGAGAGCCTCGAGGCTCAGACATTGGCCGGCACCATGGCCCGCATCTACGGCATGGAACAGCATCGGTCTGCGATCGCGGCGGCTGTGGAGGGGGGCATCATGGCGACCGTGGACATCGCCAAAGCGCTCGGGACGTCTACGACGAACTCGATCGAAGTCGGGGAGATCGAGGCCGCGGACTTGGCCTGAGCTCACCAGAGAAGCGGACGGAAGCTTGGACCCACGAGGTGCCCGAGCTGGGCCCGGACCGAGGCCCCGAGCGCGGCGCGAGCTCACCCTTTTTGCGGGGGCGGGTGGCCTCAGGCCGGAGTGTTTTTCGAAACAAAAAAAAATCAATAAAGCAACCATGCTGACTCGTGGGCCTCCGCCGGGGCCGTGGCCTACCTGTCCGCCCCCTCTGTTTCGCCCTAGACGTGTCCGCCGCGTTCCCCGCTGTGGCCGCCGATCGACTTGCAGGCAGTGCTCCCTCCCCGGCGCCTCTCCCTGCCCAGCCCCCATTGCTCCCCGTCCTTGGGAACTTGAGCAGTGGCGCGCTGACAATACTGACTCGTGGGCTACTGCTGGGGACGTGGTCCACCTGTCCAATATCGGCCTTTGGCCCGCTGTAGATGTTCTCGCCCCCGGGGCGGGATATCCCGCGCTGCCTGGCGGCCCGCCGGGTCGGGGTGCCCCCCCCCCCCGCTCGGCTTGGCCTCCGATCTCTTCGTCGGTCGGTGGCGTCGTCCCCCGCCGCGCTGGCCCTCGCTTTGCCGATCAAATCGCGGTTGCTCTTTCCTTCTACGGGGCCGGCGGCCGCCTTCGGCACCGCTCTGTCTTGTTCGCCCCACCACGTGTGGCCGGTACCCTGGGCTCAGGCTTGGGTCTTCCCCGTGGTGCTCTCGCCCGTCCGTCGCCGCCTCGGTGCGCTGGGCTCGTGGTGGTCAACCTGGCGCCGCTTCGCGCATTGGTTCGTGGTGACCCGCGCCATTTTGGCTGCGTGGCAGCTCTGCTGCTTCTCGCATGCGCGGGTTCTGCTGCCTCGGGACTATGCGGCTACGGCCGCCCTTGGACGTCGCAGCCCGCCAACGCTCTCGCCTCCTGGTTTTAATTATTTGACCGACGGTCCTTCGGGCCACCCTGGTACTCACGCAGTTGTCTGGGGTTGCGTCCTTGCATTAATTTCGGCTTACGGCCTGGGTCGTCGTTTGTTCCGACTCCCTGGGGCCCCGACGTTTTGCGTGCTTTCGCGCTGGCAGTGCGACTCAGTTTCAGTTGCCCCCCACTCGCCAGTCCGCCGCTGGATTGCTGCGTGAGGGCTCGGTTAGCCGCTGTTGTGTGGCCACCCTCCGTCGCATCAGGTTAATTCGTCGCTGCGTGCCCAGCTTTGACTGGGCTCGCCGCCGGCGCGCTCGCCCGCGGCCGCTGACCATAAAAGTGCCCCCCACCGGCCCGTAGCCTCTGGCTCAAGGATCAAGCGCCGGCCCGCTGCCTGGTTCAGCCCTCGCACTCGAGCCCGCGCGTGGCCGCGGCAATCAACTTTCCAGTTGCCATGGCGGCCTACGAGGCGCTGCTCGTCGACTCTGCCAATGTTCACATTGGCTTGGGTGAGCAGGAGCGCCAGGACCATGCGTTCTTTGCCGCAACTGAGCGGGCGGCGCGTGTGCGCTCCAGGTGCATCCTGGGCACCGCGCTTGGCTTGGCGACCCTTGTGTGGTTCACCATCTATGGCTGTCCGTCGTTCATGCGCTGCTTCGGCTTGCTCTTGGGCTCGCCGGGCCTTGAGCTGGGCGGCCACCGCGTGCCACTCGACGTGCCATGGTCGGAGTTCGACGGCGCGCAGTATGGTGACGATCTGCCGGGTCCTGTTCAGTTCAACGTGCCGTGCGACTCCGTGGCGGCGCACCCCTCGCCCAATTATGGCGTTGCGAATGTGACGGTTCTTGAGAGTGATGGCTCCGGCCGTCCTCGCGCCGCATTCTATGGGCAGCACTGCGGGTCGAACATCACCGACGATCAGTGGCACATGATGGATGGTTACCCGCTGCACTCTGGTGTCAGGTGGGAGCCCGTCACCCGGTCTTGTGGCAACCCATTCTGCTGGTGTCGTCACCCGACTTTGCTTCGCGGCTGCATTCTGACTGTGGTGCAGCCTCATTTCATTATGGTGCCTTGGCCCGCCCATGGAGAGTGCTTCCACCGTCGCGACTATGCTCCGACTCATATGGCTGAGCTGAAGAAGCAGGCTGAAGGTGGCTCAGAGATCACCTTGCTGCGTAGCTATGCCGAGGGCAGGGCTTGCTGCGATCATGCGAGGATTGGCGTGCGCATGGACACGGTGGACGAGCCGCCTGCCACGACCATCCCGTGCGACAGGTCTGGCGCTGCGGTGGTTGACGGGGGCACTCCGGCGGTGCCCAGTTGCTCTCGTTGCGTTGCCTTCCCTCGCCTCTGCACTTCGTGGCGGACCGAAATTCGCATTGTCCAGCAACGGGCGGAGGCGGCCGCGCGTGCCGGGTCTATCTTCAATGTCCTCATGATGGCCAACATGCTGGTTTTGGGGCTTGATGATCGCGGGCGCCATGGCAGCCGTGCAGCTGCGTGCTGTGCGATTCACTTTCGACCCTGACTTGGCCCCTCCCGCTCGCGTCATTGAGACCTTGAGCGTGCGGTTCATCTGGGTGCTTCTTCTGTGGGGTACGGCTACCAGCATTTGGGGCATTTCGGGCTCGGTACTCGCCATCGCACACGACTCACTGGGGATGAGCACCCTATGCGATCTTTCCTCTGGCGTGCTTCGCGCGGCCTCTTTCGCGCTGCTGATTCGGGCGATCATCGATGCATCCTTCTTCCTTAATCGTGGGGGGCAATGGCCTGGGCTGAACAACCTCGGCCAGGCGTCGACTTGGAACAGTGTTGGCTTTTGTTTCATTTCCTTTGGGTCATCGGCGCCTGGAGTCAGACTGGGTCTATCCTCGGCACTCTTATTGCGTCGGGGCTGGCGGGGGCGGCGGCGCCAACCGCGGCGCCGACGCACCGCTAGTCGGCCGCTGGCCGACGGAGAGGTGTTGATGGGGCAGTGAGGCCGGGGCCTCTCACACCTCAAAGTGGCTGCTGGCGGTTAGGGTGCCGTTATTCTGCCGGCGGCCCTCTCGTTGAAAGCTAGCAGTAATTAAGCGATTTGGCAACGCGCTTTGCAGGTTCTCGCGGCAGTATCGCTCGAGCCGTCCGCGGGCGGCCCCCGCTCTCGAGGGGGCGCCCGACGCGCTGCAGGGCCGCCGCGGCCCCCCCGCGCCCGCTCGCGGCCCCCTAGGCCCCGCTCGATCCCGGGCCGCTTGCGCTGCCCGCGGGGCAGCGCCTGGCGAGGCGCTAGGCCGGGCCTAGCTCCATGGAGGAGGGGGCTTCCCATCGCGACATCGATCGGGTCGGTGAAAGATAGGGCGGGGGCACGAGCCTAGTGCAGGCCCTGGGGGGCCACGCGCTGGCTGCAGCCAGCCCCCCCCCCCCCCGTGGTTAACGCTTTGTCCCAGATCCTTCCTGGGCAACCCTCGCCACCGGGCTCAGAGGGAGATCCGATCGACCTCATAATGATCGATCTCACGTCGGATCCTCCGATCGATCCCGCAGACTCTGGTGAATGGAGGAATGACAGTTCGGCCGTTAACCGAGAAGAGGATGGGTCCCGCGGGACAAGCCTGACGTACTCAAGAGAACAAGCGGCCGTTAGTCGCAGCCCTGGTAGCCTTGGTAACCCTGGCGCGCAAGACAGCGCTGTCCCTCCGCTCCTCGCATTTGATTCCATTACACCCACCCTTCCCTTCCGCCCACAGGGCCCCCGAGTGACCCTCGCTCCCGGAGGGAACGCGCGCGACGGCTCCGACGCCGCAGGCGTCGACATTGCGGGGGGCCCTCGCCCCGATCCCGACCTCAGAGCCCGGGGTCAGCAGCGCGTCGCTGACTCCACCGCCAGGGCCCCGAGCCCTCGCGGTATTCAGGGCACCTAACGTACCCAGACCATCCGATCTACATAAAAAAAAGAAGATATCATATTTTATGTTTTTTTCTTTTTATTGTCTTTAGGATTGTTTCTCCATTACTTTTTCCTAAATAATGACGCGTCTTCTAAAAAAAGAAAAAAATCTTTCTTCAAAAAATGAATGAAAATCAGCTTCGCCGAAGCTTCAACGAATGAAGGAAAATGAAAGAAAAAATGAAGGAAAAAATGAAGGAACATGTTGGGATTCGAAGGGCAAATGACGGAAAAATGCCGGAAAAAATGACGGAACAAATGACGGAAAAATGAAGGAAAATGAAGGAAACGTGACGGAAGGCGAAGGAACAATTCAAGATTTTGTTGTGCATCGGGGCGATATTATAGATCCACGGGCGTCTGGTACCGACCCAAGCGGCTGGGACCTTTCTACTCATTTTGCCATGTGCCTTGACTTTCGCAGCGCAGCGCCAGCCCTTCCTTCCTCCTCCCTTGCCAGCCTTTCTGCTTGATCCTCCTAATCCGATGCCTCGCTTCATTTTCTGTTCCTCGTTTCTGGTTCGGTTCGGCTGTTCGTTGTCGTTCGTGTTTGGTAGTCGTGATCATCGTCGCCGTCTTGCCATCATCGAACAGACCGCTACCGTCGCGCGACGAGGTGGAGGAGGAGGAGGAGGAGGAGGAGGAAGAGGAGGGGGGAGGAGGAGGAGGAGGAGGAGGAGGAGGAGGAGGAGGAGGAGGAGGAGGAGGAGGAGGAGGAGGAGGAGGAGGAGGAGGAGGAGGGGGGGGAGGAGCAGCAGGAGGAGGAGGAGGACGGGATACTGAGGAGGAGAGGGAGCAGTGGGAGGAGAGGGAGGAGGAGGAGGAGGAGGAGGAGAGGAGAGAGGAGGAGGAGGAGGAGAGGAGGAGGAGGAGAAGAGGAGGAGGAGGAGGAGGAGGAGGAGGAGGAGAGGGAGGAGGAGGAGGAAGAGTGGCGGAGGAGAGGAAGAGGAGGAGGAGGAGGAGGAGCAGGGAGGAGGAGGATGAGGAGGAGGAGCGGGAGGAGCAGGCGCAGGAGGAGGGGGAGGAGGAGGAGGAGGAAAAGGAAGAGGAGGAGAAGAGTGATGAGGAGGAGGAGGAGCAAGAGGAGTATGAGGAGGAGGAGCGGACAGCGGGCGTGGCGGAGTCCAAACGAATTGAGCCATGGGACCTTGAACCAAAAGGTTTGAGCCCATAGGGAAGCTGAGCGGACGGAGGAGGGGCAGGAGGAGTCTGAGGAGGAGGAGCGGACAACGGGCGTGGCGGAGTCCGAACGAGTTTGAGCCATGGGACCTTGAACCAAAAAAAGAGGAGGAGAGGAGGAGGAAGGGGTAGGAGAAGGAGGAGCGGACAGCGGGCGCGGCGGAGTCCGATCGAGCTTGAGCGACCTTGAACCAAAACGAGGCGGATGAGGAGGAGGAGGGGGAGGAAGAGGGAGAGAAGGAGAGGTGGAGGAGATGAGGAGGAGGAGTAGGAGGGGGAGGAGGATGAGGAGGAGGAGGAGAAGGAGCAGGAGGAGGAACGGGATGAGGATGGGGAGGAGGGAGAAGAGGAAGGACTGGGGCACTAACGAGAGAGGGAGAGCTGGAGAAAGCGATGGATGGAGGAGGAGGGACAGAAGAGGAAGGGTGGTGGAGGATGAGGAGGGTGGTGGATCTTGATCCTCCTTCTCCTCCTCCTCCTCCTCATCATCATCATTCCTCTTCCCCTTCTCCCATGTATCCTCCTCCTTCTCCTGCTCGGCTCCTCCTCCTCCCCCTCCTCCTCCCCGTCGTTCTGCTTCGAAGAGGGGGGAAGTGACGACCGACTCCAGGATAGAGAAGGGTGACGGAGGAGGCGATGGCGACCCCCTGAGGCGGAGGACTGCCATTTCTCACCACAGCAGCGCCCAGAAGGCTGTCACGAGTGCGATGGCCTGCAGATAGACCAGAGAGCATAGCATCGGCGTAGTATACACGCACGCGTTAGAGTAGCATCGGCGGCACGCAAAAGATGGTGGGGGAGAGAGATGCGGTTCTCTACGATGCGATGCCACATCTGGGCCCGAAACCCCCAGGGTCTCCAGGAGAGGTCGCCCAGGGCCAGCCAGGCCTCCAGGGAACTCCAAACACCGAAATCGTCAAGTCACCAGCGCAGGAGGAGCATGAGGAGGAGGGGGAGGAAGAGGATGAGGAGGAGGAGGAGGAGGAGGAGGAGGAGGAGGAAAGGGGGGGAGGAGGGAGATGATGAGGAGAATGAGGAGGAGGAGGAGGAGGAGGAGGAGGAGGAGGAGATGGAGGAGGAGGAGGAGGAATAGAGCCGCGCCGCCATGGGCAGAGGCGAACGTCGTCGCCCTTAGTCGTGAATTACCACGGACTAAACATAAATTCTCGGGGACTCGATCTTTACACAAGCTTGCGCAAACGGTAGCGCTCCATAATGTTCGTGCTCAACGTCCTAGCGTGAGAGGCTTTCGCCAGCTTTGCCGCCGCCCCTATCTCAGCCTCGTCGCCGTAGCACCAGTATGTACGCGGGTTGTCATGCAATAACACTTGGTCCTCGCAGCAGTGCAAGAATACGTGATGTTTCGGGTGCCATCTCCAAAAAACATTCGTGTTCATCCCATCACCGTTTTGCAACGACAGTTGGCGATATAGCGTGCAATGCTGGCGGGCGCACTTCCCGATCTCGAGGGGGGAGGTTTCGCTGTTCCAGTTTTTAGCCTCGTCGTGCACCCGACACAGAGCATCCACACAGTGAAAACGAGTGTGCTCGTACGGGGATTGCAAAGAGAAGAGCTTCGCCAGAAGCTCGCGCACTACAACCAGCATCCGTCTGCCCTCGGCAGCCTATGAAGCCATAGGGTGAAGCTCACAGCTATCGATTTTCCAGTCTCCTCATTCTCCTCCTCCTCCCCCTCCTCCTCCTCCTCCTCCTGCCCTCCTCCTCCTCCTCCTCCTCGTTCTCCTCCTCCTCCTCACCAATCCTCCCCCCCCTCCTCTTCCTCCTCCTCCCCCCCCCCCTCACCCTCATACCCCTTACTCTCACGACCCCATTCTTGCCTTGAGCTTCATCTTAGGCTTCGCCGTCTCCGAGCCGCGCAGCATACCCACGGTTAAATTGTTCAAGGGTGGCTCTATCTTCAGCTGCGCGCTGATCATCTTAATCATGCCAACTAGCTTGCCACACGCATCCACATATTTTTTGTAGGTGCCCCCCAACTCCCTGAACAGTTCCCACGCCACATTGCCCAAACAATACTGCAGGATACCCAAGCATGAACAGTGCATCAAATCTGCGGTCACCATCTCAATGCTGAAGCCTGGAATGGTAAACAACCCGCACAAGTATTTTCTGTTTTTCAGGATGTCGTCCATGAACGTTGAATGTGTTTCTAGCGTTTGTCTCCACTCAGCATTGAGATCTAC